TGTTTTTTTAACCTTAAACCGCATAAACACATTTCATTACACCAAATACACAAAATAATGTTCTTTTTAGCAACATCATATGACCCCTTTAACATTTTATATGTAATAGCAAAAAAGCTTGATAAAATACACTACACGTTTCAGTTAATGAAGTTTGTTACAAAACTGCATTTCCCATCATCCTTTGTGTCAGTTTTAAAAAGACAAATAAGGATGATTATTTGCTCTTTATTTTGATGCACTAGCACTAAAAAAGCTTGCTGTCTTTTTAAAAAACAGAGAAAGAAATATGAAATTGCTAAACACATCCATCTCATTAGTGACTTTCGTCACTTTGATTAATTTACATCACTTATTTCTATTGTCACTACTAAGACACTGTACACTACCGTTCAATGTTTTTTTGTTTTTTTTGTAAAGAAAATTATATTTTTATTTAACAAGCATGTTAATTTCATCAAAAGTGACAATAAAGACATTTCCCATCACAAAAGATTTCTATTTCAAATAAATTATGTTCTTTTGAACTTTGTAGGTTTTGCAGGTATTAAATAATACACACTCAGAAGATACTCTTTCATAATCAGAAGGTGTTGTTTATTTTTAAGGAGAAGCGGTTCTGTAGAGCTGGTCTGTGTTTGTGATGAGGGCGGATGGTGCTCCGTTCTGGTCTCAGTCTGTATTGGAGGATTATTTTGGCTGTTTATCTCTGGATGCCCTGCAGCAGTTCTAAATCTGTGTGCATAAACATGAAGGCGTCTGGATTTGCTTGCTGTTTTGAGATAAGCGCTGCTCCAACAATTCTGTTTAATTGTTGAATTTGAGCATTCACAGTTTGCTCTGATACAGTGTGTGCTTATGGGGCTACATGTTAACACTGTGTCTCTGCTAATGAGCTTTATTTCTAGTATAACGTGGTGTTCCTCATTGTGCGGAGTGTATGTGTGCGCACTGTGTGTGTATTGGTGTCCTGTATGCCTTTGTTGGATGGATGTGTATGTGTGTGTTTGTATTCATATGTGTGTGTGTGTTCTGTGTGCAGCTACAGAAACCTGGCTACCGAGCATGAAACACTCATGCAGAAGTACCTCCATCTACTCCAAATCGTGGAGACCGAGAAAACAGTTGCTAAGCAACTTCGACAACAGATAGAAGATGGGGAGATTGAGATTGAACGTCTAAAATCAGAGGTAAAATTTGTAATTCAAAGTGCAGTAGGGATTGTTTATCTATAGTGAACATGCCAAAATCCAGTAGAATATATCAGCAGTTATACTGCATATCAAGATGATTCTACCTCTCAGAAGTGAAAATGTTGTCTGGGAAATGAGTGCAAAACTAAATATTCAGTGCTTTGTCTGAACAGCTAGTCAAATTGTTTAAGAAAGCCCGGTATGAAAAGGTTGGTTTCAGGTTCACCTGACTCGAAACATGGTTTACATAAGATGTGATCACACAAAAGAATTGAAAAAAATGCATTGGTTACCCTAGTGATATATAAATATGCTTACTTAAATGTATTTGAAATACATTTATTTCATTCTAAGTATACTACAAATACATTTACATATTTATCTACTTAATAAACATACCCTGCAGTTGTGCTTTTATTATACTAAACTGGTATACTTAAATTCTGCTAAATTGGAACAACAAATTTTGTGCTTAATGCACTTTAATTGTGCAGAAGTAGTGCTAAAGTCCAACTAAAGATATGCTCAAGTTTATTGCAAGTATACTTTAGGTACACTTTAAATATCTTGTATTTAAAGACCGATATTATTCAAAGATCATACATTCCTCATCAATAATGACATTAAAATACATTTTAGGCTTAATATTAAGAAATGTGCATTGTGCACTAGTAGAACGCCAAATAAAGTTTAATTATAATTTTTATATCAAGAAGTTTTGAGCGATATGTCAGTAAAGATGTGAATAGATTTGAACTATACTTAGTATAAAATAAATGTATTTAAATACAATACTGGCATTATTATGGAATAAGTGGATAAAAAATAAAAACTAGTATAATTGGAAAAACGTAAACTAAAATGCATTTTAACTTACAAATAACTAAATAACACAAATTAATTTTATGTTTTGATACAGAATATATTATAAAGGTTTATCATGCACTGTAAAAAAAAAAAAAAAAAACAGCAGCTGTGGTTGCCAGAAATTCACTCAAAAATATATGGTGATAAGGTATTTTAGGAATTGTAGGATGGCATATTGGTACCTGTATATTTTACAACCATAAATTTCATGAAGTGATATGATATTAATATACCAGTCTACTTCTGTCAACATCTGCTTTTTACTTTAAAATATACTGATAACCACTATAATAATATAGGTGGCACAATAAAAAAAAACATGTGATGAATCAGAGTTCATTGTAAATGGCCTGTATAAAAAAACATGGCCAGTACTTATATAGAAACAAATATACACAAAAGACAAAACTCCATTAATAATGCAATAAACGTGAATAGCAGAATTCCAAAACCATAAATGTTACATTATTTTTCAGTAAAATTACGTATAATGCAATGTTAAACCATTTACAGTTTTGGAAAGGTAAGGTAACTTACACTCTAAAAAATGCTGGGTTCAAAACAACCCAATAGCTGGGTTTGTCCCTTTTTAACCCAGCATTTTTTAGAGTGTACAGTTAACCAATTAAAAGGTTTTACTTTAACACACCATTTTTTTCCGAAAAAGACAAACTTTCTCCAATGACAGTACAAAATGTTCCACCAAAACTCCAAATCTCTTTAAAACCTTCAGTATTATCCATAAATCTATAATATTTAAATTCTAGGTGTATTCTAGCTCTAATTGTGTAAATGTAATTATACATTTAAAAAAACACAAGCACATCAGTGTTATTATTTTGCTCTATTTTCCTTTTTCTTGTTACATAGATAACATTTGCTATGTGAAATAGCGTATTCGTGGCAGTACTAAATTAAAACATTTTTATTATTATATTTTATTACATTTATTACATTTTTCAGATTCTGCATAGTGTACTCTTTGTAAACTTATGACCACAACTGTATATTAGATTAAATCATCAAATATTTCTATGGAAAATTGTAAATACTGAATAAAATATAAACCAATTAAAAGGTTTTACTTTAACACACCATTTTTTTCCGAAAAAGACAAACTTTCTCCAATGACAGTACAAAATGTTCCACCAAAACTCCAAATCTCTTTAAAACCTTCAGTATTATCCATAAATCTATAATATTTAAATTCTAGGTGTATTCTAGCTCTAATTGTGTAAATGTAATTATACATTTAAAAAAACACAAGCACATCAGTGTTATTATTTTGCTCTATTTTCCTTTTTCTTGTTACATAGATTGTTACATTAGCTTGTCCCAATAGATAATTTAAAATGATATAATAAAACTAATATTACAGCATATACACAAAAAAAAAACTAGTCTGCCTCTCTTATCTACTAGTCCGTTGTTGGATGACTAGTCAATCATCGTGACCCATATTACATGCTCATTTATTTTCTGAAAAGGAAAATAGTAGAGAGAATGAAAAGTGGTGTGAGAAGCGTTTGGTTTTCAAGAGCTTTCTCCAGACTACTTTGCACTTCACTTTGCATCTCTGCTCATAAAAAAACGGCTCTCCAGGAGAACTATGATCCCTGCTGTATTCTTCATCAGCCAGATCAAATAGTCATTTTACTTTAAAGTGCAAATGGAGCTGGCTGTATGAAATGGTGTGCTGAATATGCATGACCCCAGATGTATTTTGTGCATCGCATCCTTGGTCCGCAGCATAATAAACTCTTTCATTCCGCGTCCAATAAATGGAGCACTCACCTTCAGACTGTGCTGGCCAGCTCCCGTCTCTTTTGTGTCCCCAACGTTTCCCTTTCAAATTGCAGAGCCATGTAATAATTTGAAAGTTTGTGCACCCTAAGCATCGGAAATCACCAGAGTGGCATCTGAGAGCTTTGATAGGGCGAGTGTTTGTGCCACACTGTGCTGGCACTGATTTGGCCTGACTCAATCACTTTGTTTATATATTTAAAATATTTCCAACCACTCACTTTTCTTTTTCACTGAGCTCATTGCAATGCTAAAAAAATGTTTCCTATGTTTTAAAATAAGTTGCACGCTGAAAACAACTATGATTACTTGAAATGCAGCTTGGTTTTGGAACAGAGCAAGCGTCTTATGTTTCATGATTGGTCAAGGTATTTTTTGATGAGTTTGATGTGATTCTATTGATTGATTCTTGTTAATGCTGCTGCTCCAGGTGCAAAGCTTCCTGAGGGGCTGGATGTGTCGGCGAAAGTGGAAGACCATCATTCAAGACTACATCCGTTCGCCACATGCAGAGAGCATGAGGAAGAGGAACCAAGTCGTCTTTAGCATGTTGGAAGCAGAGGCTGAATACGTCCAACAGCTCCACATCCTTGTCAACAACTTCTTGAGACCGCTTCGCATGGCTGCCAGTTCCAAGAAACCACCCATAACTCATGATGATGTCAGCAGCATATTCCTCAACAGGTAAGCACCAGTTTTAGCTAGAAATAATCTGCATGCTTGTGCTTAGCAGGAGAAACCTTTCAAATGAGTTCACTTTAAAATCTCAATTGTTTCTCCTCAACAGCAGTGAGATTGGATGTCTCCTGCTTCACATATGTTTCTTCTTTGATCTTGTCTATGTGTTTTCTCTGGTGAAGTAGAAGAGATCTTGGGAATGTCTTAGATTTGTCAAATATCAAACTCTAAAGCAAATTCCAATTCTCCCAAGATCAAGTTATCTGAGCTTTGGCGATCCACATTAATTTTATGGCTCTGTGCTCTTGCTTTACCAACAATTGCCTGATTTATGTTTATTTTTATTTCTTCCAATCAATTTTACAAGAAACATCTGAGACTATTGTACAAAAGGACAGATTAAACTGTCAGTAAAGACATTTTACCAAAGATTTCTATTAAAAAAAAAAATGTTTTTTTTCTTTCTATTCATTAAAGAATCCTGAAATTCTAAATCCTAAAAATTATAATTTAGCATATTAGAATGATTCCTGAAGGGTCATGTGCAGTGTTGGAAAGGTTACTTTGGAAAAGTTAACCTATTTAAAATGTAATAAGTAGTGTAAAAATTTCAATTACTTTATTAATGTAACTGATTACATTTGATTATTTTTTGATTACTTTTCTAAATTTCTAATGCATGTTTTCAACTGTTAATCATTTTTAAACATTTAAAGCAGGCAGGGTTAACCTTACAGTATAGGACTCAACACTGATTACTGTCAGACTTTCAAAATACTTCATCATTTGAATTAAGATTATAATAATTTAATATGAAAGCACAGCCACCACAAAATCAGACTTTAGTACCTCTTTTTACTTTGAGATAGTTCAGAATATCAGAAGATAGTTTAATTGATTTGAAATGAAATCTTTGCAGAGCTATGACAGGAAACACTGGCATCTAACAATGCTTTGGAAAAAGAGTTAATCTTAAAAAATAAAGCATAAATAGGAAATAAAACAGTTATTAAATAAGCATGTGTCCTATTGTGTGTCCTAAACTCCTGAAACATTGGTGTCTCATATTTTAATGCAATTTGGGAAAGAAGCAAGGAACTTTTTTGCAAAGGAAGTGTTGACGCTGCCATTTTTGTCGCTGTTTTGTTGCAGATCGCAGCCAAGCTCAAAGACAATGAGAAGATTCAGTCGAATCCCACCACTGCACCTAGTGATGATGATTCAGAAATCAAGAAAATCAAGAAAGTAAGACTTTGGCTTTGAATCACACAGCACTAGTCCAAAACCTAGTGAGCTGCTACATAGATAGCACCCTAACTGTCATTGAAACCTCATAAGTGACTATATATACACTATATATACGTAGTATAAATTTCTAATGCATGTTTTCAACTGTTAATCATTTTTAAACATTTAAAGCAGGCAGGGTTAACCTTACAGTATAGGACTCAACACTGATTACTGTCAGACTTTCAAAATACTTCATCATTTGAATTAAGATTATAATAATTTAATATGAAAGCACAGCCACCACAAAATCAGACTTTAGTACCTCTTTTTACTTTGAGATAGTTCAGAATATCAGAAGATAGTTTAATTGATTTGAAATGAAATCTTTGCAGAGCTATGACAGGAAACACTGGCATCTAACAATGCTTTGGAAAAAGAGTTAATCTTAAAAAATAAAGCATAAATAGGAAATAAAACAGTTATTAAATAAGCATGTGTCCTATTGTGTGTCCTAAACTCCTGAAACATTGGTGTCTCATATTTTAATGCAATTTGGGAAAGAAGTCAATCAAATCTATGTCTGTGTGAAAATATTCAGATGTAACCCCCTTTGTAATATTTAACATTTTCATAAGTAACTGTAATTTAATTACACATTTTTTTCACAGATTACAGTTATACTTATTTTGTAATTAAATCATATAATTCTGTTACATGTAAATACTGTAGTTATTCACCAACACTGGTCATGTGACACTGAAGACTGGAGTAACGGTTTTGCCATCACAGGAGTAAATTACATTTTTAAATATATTAAAATAGAAAACAGTTATTTTAAATTCTAATAATATTTCGCAATATAACTGTTTTTACTGTATGTTTGTTAATATAAATGCTGCCCTGGTGAGCATACAGTAAAACATTGCAAAAATCGTATAATAATTTACAGGAATAATGAAACACTTGCGTTGTTGTTTACATATGCTGTTTGTTTCTGCAGCGAAACCATAATGTTTCTGCATCAGATATTCTACCAAGGGTTGAAAGCTCGAATAGCAAGCTGGCCAACATTAGTCTTGGGTGAGTGCACTGCCAGAGCATTTGGCAACCAACAGCAAAGAACATTCTGTAGGCTCTTCAAATTGCAAGCTAGCTTTTTTCAAAAGGTGCCACAGATCTGAGGCCCAGTCACACTGACTCTGATCTTCCTTCCTGTCCTTCAGCCGACCTATTTGACATCCTGTTGCCCATGCTGAACATCTACCAGGAGTTTGTACGTAACCACCAGTACAGTTTGCAGATCTTGGCCCACTGCAAGCAGAACCGCGACTTCGACAAGCTGCTTAAACAGTATGAAGCCAAGCCTGACTGTGAGGAGCGTACACTGGAGACGTTCCTCACTTACCCCATGTTCCAGGTGACCATAATCTTTCATTCAGGCTCTCATTACCATGCTATGAATCACAAGCTGGCTAGTAGCACATGGCAGGTCCTCATGTGCTTTTTTAGTCTCTGAAAGTAGGATTTTGTAGTGTATTCTGGTCCATAATGGCTTTTTTCTTGTCGAGTAAGCAGTTTCCATGTGATCTAGTCTAGCAAGGTCTACTTTGGGCTTTGCAGCGTTGGTAATAAATGTGCTGATGAGTGATAGCGCTCCCCTCTAAGCCTCCTCTGCAAGAATACAGTGCACACTGTTAGCAAAGTTGTGTTTGGATTTCCATGCATGCACATGACTAAGTGTGGATATGATGAGTGTGTTTGTTGCAGAAGGCAAAAAAAAAAATCGGAAACTACCCTCCTGTCTAACATTATGACATGTGCTTCTTGTCTGGCAGATTCCTCGTTACATACTGACCCTCCATGAGCTGTTAGCACATACTCCGCATGAGCATGTGGAGAGAAACAGCTTGGATTACGCCAAGTCAAAGCTGGAGGAGCTTTCCAGGTACATCAAAATGTGCCTCCAGCACACCCATCCATGACCATGTGTCAACATTGCTACATCATTTCTCACTACTCGCAGGTTATGGGCCTTGTTCATGAAAAAGAAGCTGGATGAAGCTGTAATTCATTCCTGAAACCAGATCATCAAATGAAATCAATTGCTAAATGCTATAAAGAGTGTAATTTCCTCACCACTATTGGCACCAAATGGAACTGTAGTCTGACTGTGCAACCCGACTGACTGAACATAATACCATGGTGCCAGTTTGAGACAGGACTATTTGTTTGTCCAAGGGTTTGATAATGCAACAAAAAAGTGCATACTTTTAAGTATGTTAGTCACATTTGATAACAGGATTTAGAATTCCTTTTTTTTTTTTTTTTGCTTATTTTATTTTTAGTTTACCATGTCATTTTAGTTTTCTTTCTGTTTTATAGCTTCAGTTTATTTAGTCTTTTAGTATTTTAATGCCAAACTAAATGTCTTAAATGATATCATTTAAATTTATCATTAAAACTTATCATTATCATTTAAGTGACATTTTCTTAAATTTACTATCTAGTGTTATTGCTAGTATTATCTAGTGGCATTTTCATGTTTAATGAAGGCGAGTCTAAAACCAATATTGTAATCATTTTTGTTTGATTTGAATTGAGTTATTTTTTGGAAACATGAAAATGATGTTTTAAATATATTAATATAATATGTTTTCATATATTTATTAAAATATGTAATATGAAAATACATTTATGGCCATTTTTATTTGATTTTATGTAGTTTGGAATCATGAAAATGTAGTTTAAAAATATATTAATATACTATATTTTGAAATACATAAAGTATGCAATATATAAATTGATAAAATTAATATATGGCCATTGTATTTTATTTTATTTTATTTAATTTTGGAATCATGAAAATATAGCATGAAATGTATTACTAGGCAAGGCAAGTTTATTTATATAGCACATTTCATACACAATGGTAATTCAAAGTGCTTTACATAAAAGAAAAGAAAAAAAATTATAATCACGGTATCATCAGCATAGCTGTGATAGGCAATTTGGTTCTTTCTCATTATTTGACTTAGTTACTACAATATATTTTATAAATATATATTAAAATATGCAATATACAAAATGTATACAGTTATATTTTAGTTCTATAAATATAATTAAACTGTATTTTCGTAACTCCAAAGCTATCTAAAATAAAATCAAAATTCATTTAAGTGAAATAAAAAAGTTTTCACTTTCGTTCAGTATTTCAGTTGATTTCTTTTCCATGTAGTTTTTTTCTGTTAAGAGTAATATCAATGTTTAAAAAAAAACATTCAAAAATCTGTATGTGGCAAAAATAACATATGTGAGTGCTAAAATGATGTGCCTCCACAGAATCATGCACGATGAGGTTAGCGAGACGGAGAACATTAGGAAGAACCTCGCTATCGAGCGTATGATCGTGGAGGGCTGTGAGATTCTCCTAGACACCAGCCAGACCTTTGTCAGACAAGGTGAACTCCCAACACACACACACACACACACACACACACAAATCCTCCTGAGCGCTCTGCTGAAAGGGGCCACAGATCCCTGATAAGAAGACGTTTGGATTCTCCTTTCCTTCTGTTCTTTTCTGCAAACTGTCATTCTTATCACCTCTTATTGTCAAGCCCCCCACCTCCCTCTTCTCCCCTTCCCACTCCAAGGCTTTTCTGGGCTGCCCTCTTTTCCCTGCCAGCACAAAGCGGAGCGTTAACTCAAAGGATTGGGCACCCTAATCCTGCTATTCTCCGTAGAGCACAGTGTGTTCAAAGACCAGACCAACTCTTTCATTTCCAATGTAATCCCATTTTTACCAGTCAAACCTGGTGTTGAGCCCTAGATCGGAAATGTCACTGATGCGCTGCAGGATACGAAGACACGAGGAAACTGATAAGAGTCTGATAAGAACATATGTCAATCCAGTATTTCCCCATGTGCTGGCATAGTATTTGTCTGCTCTGCGTTTCCCAGCTTTACCTGCAGGGCTAACGCATCCTGCGCCTCCATGCATGTTTTTCAGGATCTCTGATACAAGTGCCCATGAGTGAGAAGGGCAAGATCACCCGTGGCCGACTGGGCTCTCTGTCTCTGAAGAAGGAGGGAGAGAGGCAGTGTTTCCTCTTCTCCAAGCATCTGATCATCTGCACTAGAGGCTCTGGAGGAAAACTACACCTCACCAAGGTGAAGCCTCATGCACTTCATTACACAGTCTTAAAAAAAGTACATACTAGGCTGGGGTGGTATGAAGAAGATATATATGGCAGGACAGTTTTAAAGCTGTTTCAGCACATATTTTTCATTCTTTTGTTTTCATTCATTCTTAGGAGATGAGGGAGCTTTTCTTAGATTTGTTAGCTTTTCAATGAACTTGTAAAAAGAGACATTGCCATTAAAATGTAATAAAATAATAATACAAATAATCTAAAAATAATAAATAAAAAATTTAATAATCTATTAGTAGTAGTAGTATTAATAATTTGTAGTAATAATAGTTTTTAATGAATGGCCAACAAATTATCACCTTTTTAAAAGTAGTTTTGAGATTAAGTAGCTTTTACATGATTTCATAAGATTTTAATTCACTTTGCCACATGGAAATATAATAAAAATAAATATAATATAAACTGAAATTAATAGACAACAACAACAACAACAATAATAATAATAAATAATAATGCTAACTATGCATTGCTTCTTGGAAATAAAATAATAAACAATAGAATAGAATTGTCTAATTAATCAATGAATTAAATAACAACAATAATGACCATGTTTTGATGAATGATCAGTATATAAACGTTTTCATAATATTTATTAAACTTTTTAAACCTAATTTAACCTTTTTTCTTTTAATGTATCTATACACCTTGTAGTGCGGTACTGTATGGTATCATATTAAAAATGTGCTGTCACAGCAGAATTATCCATTGTAGTATAAAAAAACACTTGAAACCTGCCTTCAAATATTTATTGAGATATATTTTAGATAAATATTTTTTTGGAGGGGGGGGGGGCTGTTTATTTATTTTTTGGTTGTTTGTTTGTTTTTTAATTTACATAGTTCCTTCATTTCACAGAGGACGATTTTTGAATCAGGTTCCTTGTGAAACCAGTGAAATGTTATGTTGTGCCCAGAAAAGGGTGATTACCCCCTTCAGCCGACTGTAATTTTACCACATTCAATAAGACACTATTGCTCTTGGTCTATGGGGAAATTCAAGGAGAGCCTCACCGTAATCACTGTTTTAGTACGGCTGCTATTGATTATTTGATAGATTCTCAGAGCATGTCTGACTGTTGCTTGTCTCCGGATGGCAGAATGGAGTGGTGTCGCTCATTGACTGCACACTGATAGAGGAACCAGAGGGCACAGATGACGAGTGTACGTATCAAAACTCTTGATTTAATCTTAAACATATCATAAAATATCTGCAATAACAAAAGAAGGCTCACATTTTGACGCTGATAAGAGACCTATGTACTTACCCGCACTGATATTGGCATGTTATGGAAGTAGATCCAACCACAAATCTAATCACAACAGACCTCCGCTAGATTTATTCCAGAGGATCACTGCATTTTCTTTTTTCTCTTCAGCCAAGTCAGACAAGAGCGGTCAGGACTTGGAGCACCTGGATTTTAAGATTGTGGTGGAGCCCAAAGACAGCCAGTCCTTCACCATCATCCTGGTGGCCTCCTCACGGCAAGAGAAGTCGGCCTGGACCAGTGACATCAGCCAGGCACGTCTGCTCACATCAGATAACACTGAGTGATCCACGCAGCCCTGGGCAAGACCTTCGCCTTTTACTCGTGTCCTGTGGTTCAAATACTGTCCTCACGCTCTTTTTTTCCCCTATCTTTCTCTCTTTCACTCTTTACTACAGTGCATAGATAATATTCGTTGTAATGGGCTGATGATGAACGCCTTTGAGGAGAACTCTAAAGTCACTGTGCCCCAGATGATCAAGTAAGCACTTCTTCTGACACTGGAAGTCACTATGCTTTTGTAAATATGCAAATCACTTCTAAAAATCTGTGTCACATGTTTAGGTCTGATGCCAGTTTGTACTGTGATGACGTGGATATCCGCTTCAGTAAGATGATGAACTCCTGCAAGGTGTTGCAGATCCGCTACGCCAGCGTGGAACGCCTGCTGGAGAGGTTGACCGACCTGCGCTTCCTCTCCATCGACTTCCTCAACACCTTCCTGCACTCCTACCGCGTGTTCACCAGCGCAGACGTAGTCCTTGACAAACTCATCACCATATACAAGAGGCCTATCAGTGCCATACCAGCCCGGTGAGCCACACGGATGTTTTTTTGGCATACAGAAGATGAGATCACATGGGATGCATAGAGATGTCGACTGTAGACAGACGGCTCTTATGTACATACAGTAGCAGTGTGTAGCAAGAGTGTTTTTTTTTTTTCAGCACAGTCTGCAGTGTGAAATACTGATTAAGATGAGTTTAATAACTTGATACTTATAATGGTAGAATAAAGCCGACTGACTAAAGCAGCATGACGTTTGGTAGTCGATTAATCAGTCTTAAGGAAGCCCTTCATGACAAGGCTGATTTTGGGTTATGTTTAGCTAATATTTATGGCATGTTTCTGCTCAAAAACAGCTGAATAGAGCAAGAATGAAATTAAATGCAAGTTTTAAAAGTATGACTATTTTAAACTTGACTTCTTAACTTCTTAAAGTTATGCATTATTATGCAAAGTTGCTCCTTTACTCCTTAAAAAGGCTGAAATATTATATTTAAAAAAACAAAATACACTGCCGTTCAAATGTCAGGTTCCAAAAATTATATATATATATATATTAAGCAGCACAACTGTTTCCAACATTGATAATAAATCAGCATATTGATAATAAATGATTTCTGAAGGATCATGTGACACTGAAGACTGGAGTAATGGCTGATGAAAATTCAGCTTTGCATCACAGTAATAAATTATATTATATAAGTATAATAAAATAGAAAACTGTTGTTTTAAATTGTAATAATATTTCACAATATTACTGTTTTTCTCTATTTTTGATCAAATAAATGCAGCCTTGATGAGCAAACGATACTTCTTTAAAAAACATTAAAAATCTTGCTGAACCCAAACTTTTAAACAGCAGTGTATATATTAACATTATTACAATTTCAAATAACTGTTTTCTATAATAGATTTTAAAATCCAGTTTATTCCTGTGATGGCAAAGCTGAATTTTCAGCAGCTGAAATCTTTACAGTCTTCAGTGTCACATCATCCTTCAGAAATAATTCTAATATGCTGATTTGCTGCTCAAGAATTGTAACGTATTTACGGTCACTCTTGATCAATTTAATGCATTCTTGTTGAATTAATTTTTAATTTCCAGAAAAAAAAAAGAAAAATCCTATTAAACCCAAACTTCTGAATGTATTGTAAGTATAAAAAAAAGTCTTTAAAAAAAAGTAGTCGACCTGTTTAGTTGGTTGTTGGAGGACCTATCATGATCCATCTCTAATTCTCAGCATTTGTATCTTGGCACACATATATAAATGCACATGCAGCTCTTCATTAGCAGCAGGTCTTTGCTTTGCTGGAGTTGTGTTCTCGTGTGAGAGAGAATGAGCAGAAAAAGCGATTCAGTGTGATAGGAGAGAGGTCACACCAGTGTTTGTCACCCTGTAGTGAGAACAAGCGAGCGTCTGCGTGCGTACGGGATAAAAGGAGAGAAAAGAGAGTGAAATAGAGAGAAAGCCAAAGGGGAAGGGAGTGAGAGTTGCTAAAGGCTTGCGAGAGGTCACACTAATGCGTGTCGCCCTGCTCTATGTATGTGTGTGTTCTGCTGGAAACAGCAGTAATTGGGCCCTGCTTCATCGCCTGCGTGCCTGCCTGACTGAAGCATCTCAGCGGGGCTCTGTCGCCATCACCTTAGCAACCGGCCCCTCTGCTGCAGGACCCCACCCTCCGCCCGTGCCGCATCTGCGAGATTAAATATTTAGTGTGCACGTTTTGCAGCCAGAGCAGCCTCTCTCACTCTCTCTCACTCGCACATCTCGCTTTCTGCGTCTCCTCCTCCGGTTGGCTCTGGAGACGGAGATCCAGGCAAATCGGTAAGAGCCGGGGACCTCCCACACACCCACAGCCTGTAGCACCCACTCTCCCCTGGGCAGACTGCACGGCTGTGATGCCTCCCCAGACCTCCCCCGCTCAGCTGCCCTGCATCAGCTCCAACGGTCACCCAGACTGTCATAAGAGGGGCTATTTCTGTGCAGGCATGACGTGTAGGGGTGGCTCGATGTGTGGGAAAGCTTCTCTGCAATGCTCTCAAATCTTATAGAGAGATGTGAAGAGTAGGCTGTTTATGCTCCGCAGAGACGCTTCTCTCTGCCAGCGCATATACAGTACCCTGAGCACACCGCACGGCGTTGGGAAGCCATTATGGGCTAAATCATGAGCTGCAGTGAGAGGCAAAGACGTAACTGTTGTCTTTTTGTAGGCTAGTGATGCACCGATGGTGATTTTCTACATCTGCACTCATTTATAGGTGAAGCATTTGGTGTCTAGTGACACTGAACTGAAAAAATTAGTGTTTTTTCAGACAGGTTCCCATTGGTCGGAGTGTTAGCTTCACATTGATCTTCAAACAAACAGGGTCATTTAAAAATGATTATATTTTGCTTAACCAATCATCTGATCACGTGAAATGAGACAAACTCTTTGTCATTTGTATTTAATGAGCATGTTTTACTGTGGGAAAAAAAATATATGTTTATAGTTTTTAAATATATATTTTTTTTATTTGATCATAATTTAACTTTTTTGTGATATTTTTTCTTTTATTATTTTATTTCAGCGAAATCATTTGAATGGCTTCCTTATCTTGTTGTATCTATATATTAAGCTGGAATGACAAAAAGTATTGAAAAACATTGAAAAAAACAAATGTACAGTGCCATTCAAAAGTTTGGGGTCTGTAAGATCTCTTATGCTCGCTAACAAGTCTCTTAAGCTCAGTCAGGTTGCATTTATTTGATCAAAAATATGATAAAAACAGTAATAATGTCAACAATTATTACATTTTAAAGTAACTGTATTTTATTTTAATTTGTTAAAATGTAATGTATTGCTGCGATGGCAAAGCTGAACTCTCAGCAGCCATTGCTCTAGTCTACAGTGTCACATGATCCTTCAGAAATCATTCTAAAAAGCTCATTTGGTGCTCAAGAAACATTTCTTATTATTGTCAAAGTTAAAACAGTTGTACTTCTTAATATTTTTGTGGAAATTGTGATGCATTTCTTTCAGGATTCTTTAATGAATATAAAGTTCAAAGGAACAGCATTTATTTAAAATAAAAAAATATATATATTATTACTGTCACATTTGATTAATTTAATGCACCCTTGCCAAATACAAGTATTACGTTCTTTAAAAAAATTATTTCAAAATAAATTTTAAATAAAAAACTTTTAAATGGTACCGTGTTTCAATTTAATTTGAAAGTCATTGAAATTTTTTAATTCCTTATCTGAAATTGCATGTCGATATTTGACAGCCTCAGGAGGTTTAAATCAAGACAACATGGTCATTAAACCATTTACATTTACATTTAGTCATTTAGCAGACGCTTTTATCCAAAGCGACTTACAAATGAATTAAATCAACCCTCCTTTTCAACACATAGATCCCTGGAGCTGTTTTTCGCGAGCAGCCAGAACAACAAGCTCCTCTACGGAGAGCCACCGAAGTCGCCCCGTGCCAGCCGCAAGTTCTCCTCCCCACCCCCGCTGGCCATCACCAAGACCTCGTCCCCCAACCGCCGCCGCAAACTGTCCCTCAATATCCCCATCATCACCGGTGGGAAGGCTCTGGACCTGGCTGCCCTTAGCTGTTCCTCCAATGGCTATGCAAGCATGTACTCCTCCATGTCCCCTTTCAGCAAGACCACGCTGGACATCAGCAAGCTCTATGTGTCCAGCCCCATCACCAGCAAGATTCCTGACGAGGGCGAAGGCAAGACGGACAAGGCTGATGAGGTTTCGCTGTGCAAACAGGGTGAGGTCATACTGCAAATTAGTTCACCAAAATTTCAGTAGTACCAGAATAATTGTTGTTTTTCGAACACAGCATGAACTAATAACTTTATAAATAGCTTTATTTTTTTTAATTATATTCATAATATTTATTAGTAAAAAAGGTAACACTTAAAGCCTTTATGTATGATGCATTATAAAAGTAGTTATAAAACATTATGCCTTGTAATCTCATGAATAATTGTAACCACAGTTAATACATTATAACACTTATACATGTATTGTTACACTATGCATTTTAAATTTGGTTATAATTAGTTACAACAAGATATGATGTATTACAATGCACATTATGAATAATTATAATGCATTATAACCTTTATTAACCCTTTATAATGCATTATATGGTTTAAGTAAAGGGTTACCAAAATATTTTATATTATTAATAAATATTATGAATATAATTTTTAAAAATATATTTTTTTGTTTTTTTTTATCACTGAATATTTGAATACACACATCTGTGTGTATTTATATATATTGTTATAATTTAACAAACTCAAAAATGGCTTGTTCCTTCAAGTAGTCAAACAGACATTGATATACTATTATAGTATTTGTTTTTTAAGATTTTTTTTAGCCTTTATTTTGATTGGACAGTGTTTAGACAGGAAGCGAAGTTGTAGAGAGAGAGGGGGAGATGTGATTGGGAAAGGTCCACGAGTCAGGACTCGAGCTCAGGACGCTTGAAGGGCAACAGCGCTATATGTCGGCGCACTGCCCACGAGGCTATTGGCACCAACTATTATAGTATTTGTTGATATTTAAAAAAAAAAAAAATTCAGATTTGCTGTTTTCATTCTAATAGTAATTTTGTTGTGTCTATTATTTGTATTAGTTTTTGTCTTTTTTGTATTATATTATTAGGTTTTAGCTTTTAGTTTTAGTAATTTAATTTAAAACTAAATAAAAAAAATTCCCAGACTGAAATAAAATCCTTTTTATATATTTTTTTTATTTCAGTTAATGTTTATTTTATTTCAGGTTTTAAAAATGTTATTTTTTATAGTTTGAGTTTTATTTTGAGTTAAGGATTCAAACCGTTTTTAATCATACCAGTACTTTTAAATGCAGACTGCAAGCTATCATAGTATGGTGGGATTGTGTTGTTTCATGTGTTTGATATGTTATGCATATGGATAACTGTAATGCCTGTGACTGATTTTCTCTAGACATTTCAGTGAGGGAGGAAGGCAACAACGACCAGATCCCGAGTGACGAGGCAGAGGCTGAAGTGTCGCCCACCAAATCACCCACCACTCCCAAAAACGTCAAATGCAAAAACTCTTCAGGTAGAAGACACCCTGTCCTAGACTTCCCTGCCATGTTGTTATCGCTCACTGACATGAAAACCAGAGCACCTGCATCTCACGCTGACAAGCCACCTGCACCCTTCAGACCAGCCAAATGTTGCATTTATCAGTGGCTCAAAATGGCAGACTCACTGCGTGTTTAATGCAAAGGTCCAGTAACATTCAGTTTTTATTTTTATTTTAAAGGTTTGAATATTTAGCTATATGAAAAAACTTCAAGTTCCTTAGCATTTGAGATGTCGTTGTAAACTGCTCGTTTTTTGTTCCCACGTGTCGTTCATGTTTTAAAAAACACGCTGTATCTGTAAATGTCTGAAGTGATCCTGAGGACGTAGATGGAAGCCTCGCAAGACACGATTCATGCAAAATCTCATTAATTCTGTAGGTTAAAAAAAAAAAGCTCAGGGAAACGCCAAAGGAGGCGTGAGTAGGTGTTTGGAAAACTTGTGCCATAGCAACCATTAGCATGTATTCTCACTGCCACCCCGGTTACCGGGTTTGTTTGAGTGCGGTCGATGCATTGCAACAGTACTGTCTCCTTGCTTTCCAAACTAAATTAAGTGAGGGTTCAAAGGTCAACGATGACCCTGTTGTTTCATATGTGTGATGCAGTATTGCCATTAAGCTTTAGAAGGCTGTAGAAGAATAAAGCATGTTTCAGTTACCCTTATGTTTTTTTTTTCTAAACCTTATCTGAAGCATGCAACAACAAACTAGCTTTCTTTAAAACGCTGCTTTTGTTATTTTCTGATTGTGTATTTGAGACATACATCTTAAATGATGAGCTATTTTTAGTCTCAACCATCTTGAGAACCAGAGCCCTGCCTATTGTCTTGATGAAGACGCAGTCTGTGATTTTATGTTTCGTACCGCCACCTGCTGGATGCATAGATGCTCTACAGTACATCATTGCCGCATCATCACTCTTATGCTCCAAAAAGACATTTTTCATATGATAACATGATTCATTAGCCTGTGAAAAGTGCTTGCAAGTACAAAACTAACAGTATGGAAATATGTGCTTATTTTGGTCTTGCTGACAATCTCAGACAATCTGGGTTGTCGTTTTTGTTTAACAGTCGTTGGGTGCTGTAGATACTTGTGACATTTTCATATGTCATCATCGGAGGCTTATCCATTGTGGAGATAATGTCACTTCCTCCATTATTTCTGCATGAGTCCATCTTGTCTTATTTCACACCTGCTGTACCCTTAAAGAGGAAGCACTCTAAAACACAGTGAATTCACATTTACCGAATTTTTGTCTGGACCTTTTAGTTTTTGGGCTACCGGCAGTTGACAGTTTATATGTCTAACAAGTTTTAGGTACAACGATATTCTTCTTAATTCAGCTCAAATCTCTTAGTGTACAGATTCAAACTTTGTACTGTAGATCATTTTAGGCTTAATTGTGCTGTTTACTTGTTTAATTTTTAATTTTTTTTTTTTATTATTTACTTTGTTAAAATATTTAATATTGATGCTTGAAAATCGTCTTTATAAAATAGATTACTCTAAGATTTCTGATTGTCCGACTGTGTTGCAAAATCGTAGGAAAATTGTTATATTACTTCAATTACAATATGCTCTTTATTAGAATTCTATTGAATGAGCTACATTGTGAAAAAGTGTGCTGGTAAAATTGTTACATTACATTGCAGTCATAAACAGCACTAGTACAATAATTTATATTACTGCTTTGTTAAAATTTCAGTAATATTATATTTTATTAATTCAGCTTGAATATCTTAGTATACAGATTTAAACTGTGTAGATTATTATTTAAGGCTTAGTTGTGCTGTTTACTCGTCTTATTTATTTTTGTAAATTTTTATGGATAAAATATTTAATAAAATATAAAATCTTAAAATATTTCATATTAATGTTTGATTGTCCAATGGTGCTGCAAACTGACTGTTAATAAAATTGTTAAATTACTTTGCAACCATAAACAGCCTAACACTGTGATCAATATTACTTACAAATTAAATAAATATTATATTCTTGTTGTTATCATCATTTTATCTAATTATCAATAATACATTTAAATCTTTATTGGTTTATTGCTTTGGCTTACATTTAATTAAATTTTCAGAAAAATGTAACTGACAGTGATGGAATCATCTTAATATTTGCACACTGAACTATGCTTGGTTTTTTTCTTCTTTTTTTTAAATGCCGGTACTTTCTATCACTTGAAGTATGCAAAAATAATATTTATTTGATTAAATCTCTTAATTGGTTTTGAGTAGCTGACTAATTCTGAAATGAAACATGGTATTAACCTCCATGCACGCATTTAATAACCATGTGTTCTGTTTGTCTTTCTCTCTGGGTAGAATTCTCTCTGTTCTCATACAATAATGGCATGGTGATGTCGTCCTGTCGGGAGCTGGATAACAACCGTAGCGCCTTGTCTGCCGCTTCTGCCTTCGCCATTGCCACTGCTGGTGCCAACGAGGGCACGCCAACCAAGGAGAAGTACCGCCGCATGTCTCTGGCAAGCACAGGTAGGATTCAGCAATCTGTTTCAATCTCTCATAGGCTGTGGATATTTGTTGCCTGGCAGAAGAGGGATTAATGTGAATTTCGATTGGTTATCAGGGTTCCCCACAGATCAGAGGAACGGAGATAAGGAGTTTGTGATTCGTCGAGCAGCAACTAACAGAGTTCTCAATGTCCTCAGGCACTGGGTGTCCAAACACTCGCAGGTGAGATGAAGTAAATATTATACACTTTTAAAAATAAAAGGGTTTTGTAGCAGCGCCATCGAAGATCAATTTTTGGGTTCCCAAAGAACCTTTCAGTGATCAGTTCTTAAAATAAACATTTATTTTTGCTTACCTGTGTATCGTGTGTGCATGTTTGTAGGACTTTGAAACCAACACTGAGCTCAAAATGAAAGTGATTAGTTTCCTGGAGGAAGTGATGCATGACCCTGAACTTCTTACCCAAGAAAGGAAAGCCGCTGCCAACATCATAAGGTGAGTGGAGTCTGTCTACACCCTGACAGAATCAATGCTCACATGTCCTCACATATCCTGTCATGCAATATTTTAGACTTCTGTAATCTGATAAACGCTTGTTCATGTAATTAAATCAGTGGCTTTTCTTGTTTTTTTTTTCTTTTTGGACAGGACATTGACACAGGAGGATCCCGGTGACAATCAGATCTGTCTGGAGGAGGTGCTGCAGATGGTGAGTGGGGAGATTATGGGTCATCCTCCAAATTACTTAACAGTTCAGTGCTAAAACGATCAGAACTTCAAGTTTGGGGTCAGTAAGATCATTAAATTTTTTTGAAAGAAGACATTGTTGCTTTCCTCCCTCACTGATATTTTCAAAATGCAATCTTGTGACTTGTTTTCTATTTTAATATATTAATTTATATTCTTTTATTTATTCTGTAATGGCAAAGTTGAATTTTCAGCAGCTATTACTCTGGTCTTCAGTGTCACATGATCTTTCAGAAATAATTCTAATATGTTGATTTGATCCAGAAACATTTATTTTTATTATCAGTGTTAAAAATAGTTGTGATGCCTAATAGTTTTTGTGTAATCTATGGTATTTTATTCATGATTTTTTGATGCCTAGAAAGAATCAATAGGTTTTTGCTGTTGTGTTGTTTGTTTGTTTGTTTGTTTGTATGTTTTTGGTTTTGTAGTTTTTTTGGCAAAGTTTTGTTTTGTTGAGCCTGGTCTCATGAAAATGCATATAAATAGTACGGCAAATAAAAACAAAAACTCGTGGTATTGATACGCAAAAATTGACTTTGGCATGCATATGATACGCACATGTTTGGTGTGCATATAATACGTAGTTTTCACATGCAAATAATACGCAGTTTTCGCGTACTTATAATACACATCTACCCACAACCCCTACCCACTGCGTAGCATATACACGCCAAAGTCAATTTTTGCGTTTCAATATACCACGAGTTTTTGTTTTTATTTGGCGTACTATTTATACTCACTTTCATGAGATCGGGTTGTTTGTTAAATTATAAAAGTCTCTGTTACTTTTGATCAGTTTAATCCATCTTACTGACCCAAAACTTTTGGCTTGTAGTGTATATCCAGAACGTCTCGGTTACGTACGTCTCAGCGCGGACACTGTAAAATCTCATGAAGGTGTTCGGTGTCACCCAGCCCACAGCTCTACAGATGTCTGCCAGAGAGGCGCCGTGCACCAGCGCATAGGAGGAGACAACACTCCATGTGGAGTGAGCCCGCACCCCCAGGGGGCACGGCTCGCCTTGGGTTTGGTAGGCCAAGGCGATGGCATCCACTATCCAGTGCGCCAACCTCTGCTTGGAGACAGCCTTACCTTTCTGCTGACCTCCGTAGCAGACAAAGAGCTGCTCAGAGCTTCTGAAGCTCCGGGTGCGGTCCACGTATATGTGCAATGCTCTTACGGGACACAGCAACGCCAAGGCTGGATCTGCCTCCTTCGAGGGCAGTGCTTGTAGGTTCACCACCTGATTGCGAAAGGGCGTGGTGGGAACCTTGGGCACGTATACAGGCCGGGGTCTCAGGACAACGTGAGAGTAGGCTGGCCCGAACACAAGGCACTCTTCTTCTAAAACCCTGACTTCATCTCGGCTGGAGGGACAGGCTTGATTGCGTCCTTCGCCAGTAGGACAGCAATCTCGTCGCGCAGGATAGGGGCATCTCGAGCTGCCACCGAAGTCTCAAGAACGCCGCTGAACCTAGGGGATCGCCTGGCAAACTTAATTGCATAGCTGAGTCGAACTGTCCGAATGAGCCAGCGGGATGGGTTGGGCAGCCTGAGCCACGCTTCCAAGCTCTGTGCGAGTGGCACCAAAGGGACAATCGACGCACCTGCGGTGGAGCAGCGGTGGGAAGTCGTGCTGGATGGCACAGAAGGCATTGCGTGCTGGCTCACCACAGCAGGACTCCCCGTGTCCCTGGAGGGACTGGCCAGAGATGTGTGGAGAGGCAGCGCGTCTCCGAGCCGCGATCTCTTGGCTGCTGGCGATAGCGAGTGTCGTGGGCAAGAGTGAGGAGACAGCGCATCGCTCACTGTCAACCCGCGAGCCTGGTAACCCGGAGGAAAAGGAAACTGCTCTTTTTTCGAGAATGTGGGTACCGCTGGCCGTTGGAACAGAAACAAAACGGAGCAATGGATTCTAATCCTAACCCTAACCCTCCGGGGGAAGGAGTGGTGCTGTTCTCGCCATCTCCTGGAAAATAGCAGCTTCCCACATCTCCGGGTTGCCCGTGTCAGGGCCGCTAGGGACACGTTCTCGGCATGCACCTGTCGCCTATTTATATCCGTATGCACGGGGAGTGGCTCAGGTATGCAAAATCCACTAGCCAAAATTCATTGGCGTTTTCTCTGAAAGTCAGAGCGGATTGGGGCTCTCAAGTAAACCCCCTATGTTGTCACGACATAACTCGTAGTGACCGACAGATAGGGAACTCCTCTTCTGTCTCTAATTGTATTATAGTGTATAGTATATTTTACTATTTACAAAGGTGTGTAAACTGTGCTGAAATTCATTATTCAGTATCTTATCTAACTAATACTTTTTTAACATAGGCGGAAAGAAGAAAGTCAGAGTCTTTCGAGAATCATTCGGCTCTGGAGATTGCAGAACAGCTCACCCTGCTGGACCATCTTGTTTTCAAAGTCATACCATATGAGTGAGCGTGATTATGTTTCATTTTATTCATTCTTTAGATAACTAGGGAGTAAACTGATAGTTCACTCCAAAATGAAAATTATGTTATTAATGTACATACAACATACAACTTTTACATGAATGATATGAGGGTGAGTAGACCATTTTTAATTTTGGGTGAACTATGCATTTTACAAGAAAAGCTTAATGACATTGTTTGATTAAATTCAGCTTAATACTTGAAGATTTGTGAAGAAATGTGAAGGATATTATAACCGATTTATGAACATGCCATCATCCCTACAGTAAGTTATCTGTGTGTTTTTTCTCACAAATGTGTTTATTGTCATGAACAGGGAGTTTTTTGGTCAAGGATGGATGAAGAACGACAAAAATGAGAAGACACCTTACATCATGAAAACGACAAAACACTTCAATGATGTAAGTGTTCAGTGTGAAAACATCTGGTCCTAGTTAAGTGCAAAGTTGTTGCAGTGAATTTGTTGTTGCATTGTTCCAAATAAAGCATAATGAACACAATGTCGATATACCTCTTTTAAAGATCAGTAACCTGATCGCTACAGAGATCCTACAGAGTGAGGATGTGAATGTACGGGTAGCAGTGATAGAGAAGTGGGTGGCGGTGGCCGATATCTGCCGCTGTCTCCATAACTACAATGCCGTGCTGGAAATCACCTCATCCCTCAACCGCAGCTCCATCTTCCGTCTGAAGAAGACTTGGCTCAAAGTGTCCAAACAGGTGGGGAACTACCTGATAAAACCTCATCAAAATTAAATGAATAGACTTAAGAGTTAAAGCAGGACCAGTGCAGTTTAAGACAATAAAAGAATATTTACTGGACTCCTCCTGTTGATTCAGTATTGATGAACTGTTATTTGATGTTGTTAGATCTGAAAGTATGTGACAACTGAAAACAGACTGAAAACATTTAACACACTTTATCATTCCATTTAAATCAAAGACTAAAACAGTCATTGACAAGCTGCAGAAGTTGGTCTCATCTGAAGGAAGATTCAAGAACCTCAGAGAGGCCTTAAAAAAGTAAGTTTTAAAAAAAAAAAAGTCAGTACTTGTAATTTAAGTCAGACTTTTGTATTTGAGCAAATGGGTTATTTTATTTTATTTTATTTTGGTGATGATAATATGATACGGCTATTAAAAAACTGGCATGGCTAACACTGCATTTTTTTCTAATGCTTCTGCTAGTTGTGACCCTCCCTGTGTGCCATATTTGGGAATGTACCTCACTGACTTGGCCTTTATTGAGGAGGGGACGCCCAACTACACAGAGGACAACCTGGTCAATTTTTCCAAAATGAGAATGGTAGGTCTTTTTTAGATGCATTCCTTTAATGCATGTGTGGGAAAGAGTTACATATATAATTTTATCATATTTTCTTAATTTTACAGATCTCCCACATCATCCGAGAAATCAGGCAGTTTCAGCAAACGGCATACAAGATTGATTACCAGCCAAAGGTATTGAACTGATGTTCGTTTGTACTGACACAATATAGGGTTTCATGATCAACATGCACTAGTAAAATTTGTGGTTGCTAAGTTAGCTATGTTTTGTCCTGAACATAATTATATTCAGATTAAAAACAGTTCGAACTGTTAAGGTCCTTGCACATGGAGTCTGAAATTTTTGTATGTGTTTTTCCATTTTTTTTCGTATTCGTCATCCTTTCCCTATCAAAATGCTTGCTACAGATGCGAAAACGCAGAAAATCGAACCTGGTCCGAATTTTTTTATGACTGACGAAAGTTTAGGAGGCAGTGTGTAAACGTGATTGACACAACGTGAGGTCGTATTTATTTTTTTACGTGCGAAAATTTCGGACTCAGTGTGCAAAGACCTTTAAGCCCAACAGAATGCAGAAACACATTACGTTAGCTCTACAAAACCATTTAATCACAAAATCTGACTTCATAAAAACTAACCTTCACTAACATTAAAGGTGCAATAGGTGATTGTCTTCAGAAACATTTTTTGTTATGCTGGTTGAAAGTCTCTTCACACCCCCATAGCAATCATTAAGTTAAGTGGTCTAAATGTATTTATCTGTATTTATATATTCTGTGGAAGGC